ATTTATTTCTAACCAAGGCTTATATATACTTGGCAGCATGCAAGCCCCCCAGATTACAGGTAACCACATACATCATAGGAAGGGGTTGTACCATAGGCAATATAGAAATGGGAGGGGGGAAATCTAGGGGTGTACACACAATAGGAATAGAAGGGATTAGGAGTACACATGTGACAAGATGGCAGCCTAACCTTGATTGTCCTTGAGCTGGTTTGACTTATTCTCAGGGCTCTCCATGGAAACAATCACTATCCATATCAGTAGGGTGTGAGCCCCATCTAGGGTGAGATAAACAATAGTGTCTGATTGCTCTAAATGGTTGAGTGCCTTCAGGAAGAATATCTCCAAGCATCTGACCTTCCACCATGCCCTAGCAAGCAGCATCTTGGGTTTGGCCTATATTTGGGGGAGACAACTTGGAAAAAAGCCTTTTTTGTATACCACATATAGATGGATGATGGGTAGATGAGCAGGTGAGTGGATGAATGGTGGGTGAGTGGATGAGTGAATGATGAGTAGATGGATAATGAGTGGATGGCTAGGTAGATGGATGGGTCGGGGTGGATGGATGATGGCTGGGTAGATGGATGATGGATGATGGGTGGATGGATGGATGATGGGTAGGTAGATGGGAGAATAGATGGATGCTGAGTAGATTGATAGGTAGATGGTGATGGGAGGGTGAGTAGGTTGGTGGGAGGATGAATGGATGGTGGGTGGATGGATGGATAATGGGTGGATGAGTAGGTGAATAGATGGTGGGTGGGTGATGGGTGGATGGATGAAGAGTGGATTGTGGGGAGCTGGGTGGATAAGTGGATGGTGATGGGAGGGTGGGTAGATAACCGAGAGGATGGATGGATGGATGGATGGATGGATGGATGGATGGATGGATGAATGGATGTATGACATGTGGATGATGGCTGATGCTCTCCTCAAATCTCTCCTTTCTCATCTCCATTTGCTAACCCTCCATTGCACTTTGGGGTGACCTATGTTACACATCCTGGCAGAATCTTCCTGATACCCAGATTGTGGGACTTGGAGCTGATTTCCACCATCAGTGCAAGGACACCCGAGGACCCGCTGTAGATACTGTAAAGGAAAAGAAAGGAGCATTCCCCTCTCTCTATCTCAGGATATGTGGCTCATTATTTCTGGTGACCGAGCATGGGGGCCCTGCTCCCATCCTCCACCCCACACCCAAGAGCAAGTTCCCATCGCCCCAGGCTCCTGTGCACCCTTGGCCTCAGCAGCTAGTGCTTGTTCCTTTCTTCCAGTCATGGTCACAAGGGGACCTGAGAGGGATGGTGACTCAGCCCAATTCATCACCACAATGGAAAAGCCCAGTCACCTGTCCTCCTGGCAACAGACCGGAGCTGCTGCTGCATCTGGAAGGGCAGCAAGCCACATGGTCTTCAAGGTCCTTTTGTCTTTCACCTGCTGGAAAATCAAAGCGGAAGGTACACAGGAGCCCTCCTGGCTGACATCACAGTAGCCTGGCAGCGAGTGATTCCCCCAAGACAGCTCCATGGGCCAGGGGCTCCGTGTGCATCACAAGCCCATGGTTATCTGAGGGGGTAAACACACCCTCCATTTGAGGCAGAGCCCACGTCTCACTGTGGCTGTGGTACCTCATGCCCACCCCCACCCTGGTATTTTAGAGTAGAACCTCTCCATAGGGCTTTCTCTGTTTTATTGATATGTAATTCACACACCATACAACTCAATGGTCTAAATGTACGAAAGATCAATTTTAGAACATGTTATTCTTCATCGTATCCATTATTATTACTAGCTCCTCGTTTCCCCCAGCCTCCCATCCTTGGGGTTTTCTTGTTTGTCCGTCATCTTTACAGAGCCGATCACCAGGTATTTCTTTGGGTGCATACGACTAGGGAAGCAGCTGATCACAAACTACTTGTGACGCCCTGGCTCCTCCCACTGGAAAATACCTTCTTCCAGCCTCCCTTGCAGCTTTGCTATCACCTGGGCTCCTCCTGTCAGACATTCTGGACTGAGGCTGGAGGAGGCTGAGGCCACACAGGCGCCACTTTACTGAAGATGCCAGCAGCTGTGACAGCAGCGCCGTGTCTGAGCCTGGGGAGATGGAGGTGGGGATTTTATTAGTATTTTTGGTAAAAATACATTTACCAATGCCTTTGCCTTTACAACATTTTCCCATGGACCACTCAGGGGCATGAATGACCTTCACGGGCAACCATCCGGACTGTCTGTTTTCATGGCAGCTTTGATACCAGAGTAAAACTGGTCCCTGAGATCCTGAGAGCCCCCCCCACCCCAACCTCCCTTGAGCAAAGCCCCTTCTACTTCAATGAGTTGTTGTTGTTAGGTGCCTTCGAGCGACCCCAGGGACCACAAAACTAAACACCATCCGATCCTGCTCCATCCTCACCATTGTCCCTATGCTTGAGCTCTTCCGTGCAGCCACTGTGTCCATCCATCTTGTCCAACGCCTTCCTCTTTTCCACTGCCCCACTACTTTACTAAGCATCATTGGGCCTCTATTTCTTGCAACCAAAAGCCATGAGTGATCCAACCAGTTGCCGGGGAGCCAATTCCAACTCAGGATGAACCTACAAAACATGGTGGAATTATGCTTGCAAGGCACTTCCGGGTGGGTGTGAGCCTCTAACCTGTCCGTTGGTGGTCGAGCACTTAACTCTTTGCGGGACTCCAGACAAGTATATCAGTCCCATTTACAGGAGGGGAAATGAAGGCTCAAGGGAGGTCTTGAGTTTAGTGTTAGTTCTGCCTGCTTCACATATGGGGACAGTGAAGTCAGTGACTGACCTGGCATCTTTTAGGTAATTAAGTAATTAGGAACAAGACGGAGGGGAAACTGAGGGCAAACATCTTAGAGGGCCCCTGCCACAGCCAGTAAGTTGGCCCACTGCAGGGTGCTGCTTTCCCTTGCTGAAACTCTGTAATCCAAAGATCCAGAGCAGGAAGAGGAAATGCAATGTGTGGCTGATTGCTTCCACCAACAGCTGCCTCCTTTGCAGGAGACCTAAGACCTGAAGCACTGGATGGTGCCCCACCGCCATTACTGAACCCTTCGAGCAAAGTTTTTCCTTTTTTCAATCATTTTATTGGGGTCTCTTACAGCTCTTATCAGAATCCATCCATCCATTGTCAAACACTTTTGTACATATGTTGCCATCGTCCTTTTCAAAACATTTTCTTTCTACTTGAGCCCTTGGTATCAGCTCCTCATTTTTCCCTTCCCTCCCTCCCTCATGAACCCTTAATCATTTATAAATTATTATTTTCATATCTTACATTGTGCGCTGTCTCCCTTCACCCACTTTTCTGCTGTTTGTCCGAGCTGTTGTTCCTCATAAAAGTTGTTGTTCTATAAAAGCTTTTATAGAAGGAGGAAATTGAAACAGAATTTCAAATTTTCATGGAATCCAAACTTTCTGCAGCTGCTGAACCCCCAAAATGATTGCCTTGAGGAAATCTTTAAACCTTAAATGAGAAAACTTTCTTTTAGACCGAACAAGAAAAACCATAACCCAAACTCGCTTCCATTGAGTCGACGCTGACGCCTAGTGCCGCTCCAGGACAGGGTAGAAGTGCCCTGGTGAGTTTCCAAGACTCTTCATGGGAGTAAAGCCCCGTCTGGCTCTTGAGGAGCGGCTGGTGGTCTCGAACTGCTGACCGCAGCCCAATTCATAACCACTACACCACCAGAGCTCCCTAACCAAACAATAATTTAGCTTCATTTGGAAAGAGGACCTGCTTCGGTCGCTGTGCTTTTTTAAGGAACTTCCCATAAAGGATCAAAGTGACAGCAGCGGGTTGGAAGGTGAAGCCGGACACTTTGGAGCAGCGAGTGTATGTTAATAGAGGAGGAAAAATTCAGGGGAGGGTTAAGAATAGCTGCCCAACTTGGGAGAATATGTAATCAATGTCCCTGAATTGGTGTGTTCCGCTGTGAAGATTTTCAACAACAATGAGAAAAGTAATTATTTGAATAAAACAGCCCTGCCATCTGGTCTGTCCGCAAACATCCGCATGACTCAGTTTTCCAGTGTGGGCCAGCACGTCCCTGTACCTGCCTATCCCCTAAGGGCTTTAGCTTGAGGTAGTAGCTCATTGGGGGGTGTCTTAAAATTGCATTCATCATCCATTGTCTGCACTTTCAGGGCCTGCCAAGATCCATAGTGTAAATTCATAACCTGACACTCTCCACGGCTGCTCACAGCAAAAACCAAACTCACTGCCATCAAGTCCATTTCGACTCATAATGACCCTACAGGACAGGGTAGAACTGTCTCTGTGGGGTTCCAAGACTCTAGCCCTGGACAGGAGCATAAAGTCTCGTCTATCTCCAGAGGAGTGGCTAGTGGTTTTGAACTGCTGACCTGGCAGTTAGCAGAGCAACCTTTTGGGTAATCGTTATGCCACCAGGGCTCCTTGAAGGCTACCCTGGGTGTGTGAAATTGTCTAAACTTGGCAGAGTGGCTACCTGATGTCCAGGCCATCCCGGTGCCTTCTGCAGACAGATGGCGATGTGATGGTGTCAGGCTTTTGGAGGATGACTTTCATACCCTCTAACGGCCTGCATAGGAGTTCTGGTGGTGTATTAGGTTATGAATTAGGCTGCTAACTGCAGGGTCAGAAGTTCAAAACCAGCATTTCTCTGTGGGAGATAGATGAGGCTTTTTACTCCCGTAAAGAGTTGGAAACCCACAGGGGCAGTTCTAGTCTGTCCAATAGGGTCGCTATGAGTCAGAATTGATTTGTTGGCATTGGGTTTGGTGTGTTTTAGTTAGTTAGTTAGTTAGTTAGTTAGTTAGTTAGTTAGTTAGTTGGTTAGTTTTGGGGTCTGCATTCCTCCAGGGAACTCACAACAGGCTAGGCATTGAGAAAGACGTAACTAGAATACCAACATCAAGAGTTGTGCTCAATGACGAGGTTGGAAATGGTTTTAGAAGCTGGCTTTCAGAAAAGTCTGCTCGTCTACAATGCAATGCCAACAACTTCTCCATCTCACAGAATGGCAGCACCACGTGGTTTCTTTCCTAGGTCTCACAGAAACCCACTGTGTCTGGCGTCCTTCCAAATTCACAGTCTGATCCCTAGGATGAAAAAGGGTAGCTTGCCTGACTCACATCACGAAGCCAGGAACCAGTGGAACCAGCCTCAGCTCCACAGGATTGGGGACTCACACACACATCCGCAGCTTCCTGGTCTTGGAGTTCACCCCTTCATCACTGTCCCCCAACCTTGACACAGAGGTTTGCCCAAGGTAAGCCACTGCGCTCTAAGGAGAAACAAGCTTGATGTCACCTGCTGCTTATACATGGCATGCCACTCCTGGGCTCAGCTGCCTCAGCGCTGGTCAGTGGGTTGATCCCCTGCCCCAGCCCAGCTAGAGGGGGCAGTGAAGGGGAGGGTGTTTGTAGTGCCACCCACACTCTTCCAGCAGGGCACATTCACTCTGCCACAAAGGCTGGCATCCAGGAGGTGGTCCAGCCCAGGCCACTAACAGAGCCAAAGTAGAACTTGGACCTCCAGAGAGAGCCCTGCCCCTCTCTGCCAGGGCCATTGTATTTCCAGTCTCCCTCGCCATCCAGGGCTTGGAGGCTCCCTGGTGAGGATGGGGATGGCAGATGGGAGCAGCACAGAACCAGGTGTATGTGTGTGAGGAGGGGAGGGGGGTGGGTCAGGAAGATGGCAACCTCCCAGCTCCTTTACCCCCTTCAATAGTGGAGGGTAATTTGGGGGAGCAGGCAACTAGCCACACTTTGGGTAGGCCTTGAGGGTCCAGAATCTTCGCCAGGCACAGCTCACTTCAAGTTTCCAAGGAAACCCTTCACCCAGGATCCCAGAGCGAACGTCTAGTTCTTCCCCACCCCCCAGGGCTTTTCCTGGTCCCGGGCGCCCAAGGGACACAGGGAGGAGGGGTGTATCCTTCTGCCTGGGGCTCCACTCTGGAGTCTAAACAAAGACAAGGGCGGAGGCGGCCCCCTCCCCTGAGACCTGAAGCCTCCAAGCTACCAGGGGACTACAGGGGCGGGCGGGACGCACAACACACCCACTGGAGGTTGCGTGGCGGGGACCCTTCCTGCAGTGGTTCGGTTCACAAAGGTGAGGAGCGAGCGAGCGGGCGTGGGAGGTGGGTGATTCGTCCCCGGCCGGCCTCAGGGTCGCCTGTCCGCTTACCCTGAGGGCGCTCCATCGGGAGACAGAGCCCGGGCTGCCTTCTGGGTCCCGCGGACAGGACAGGCCCAGTCTCGGGCCAGCGCCGCCCCCATCTGAGACCGCGGCGGGGACCGCCAAGGGGCAATAGCACCTGCACCCGCGCCTTGGCGGCCCTCGGTGAGTAGCGGCCCTGGCCCCCGCAGTCCCCGGGCCCCGCACCTCTACCTACGCGGCTGCGGCGCGCACCCCCGGCCTGGAGCAGCCTCGGTGCTCGCCCGCAGACTGGCTCTCCGAGCCCCTTCTCGCGGGCCACTTGTCACCTACGCAAGGGGGGCGCACCCCTCACCCCCCAGCTCCCTCTCCTCGTCGTGTCCTCCAGGAGAGGATCTCGGGGTCGCCACGGCGCCACCACCCGCGCCTCCCCCACTTCGACCCCCAGGGCG